ACGCAAGTATCTTCTCTGCAACAAACCGTGGCCGCAGATTTAGCATTGAAATTCTATGACGAGCTTGAACAGCTTAGAGCTCCTCGCTTTGCAAACTGCAGACTTCATCTGCCTTGCATTTCATTCTGTGTCACGGAAGTCAGACGTATACACAGTCAAAACCAGGAGGCTCTCATCATGTATAAAATCAAGGCGGACGGGCTTAACGACCTGCTCGTCATCACTAAAGAAATCCTAGTTCAGTTCTGGCGGGCAAAGCCCATTCAGCAGACGTTCTTACTTGTCCGTCCATGGGATCGGTATCTCCTCGGGGTACCTGACTTTGCAGAGCAGCCTGACTTTGCAGACGATCAAAAGAGCGTGGAATATGGGACCGAGCTTGGGTCCCCGATGGACTACTCTGACAGGCCACCTAGTGGTTTGCCTGTTGAAGAGGAGCCTGGCTTACGAGCGTTGCGGTTAATGGTTCGCCTTGAACAGCCTTTCGACGCATTTTTGCTCGCACAGCAGCGTGTCGGAGAATACAAGAGGATCGCGTCGGACTATAACATCATTGCACAAGTCAAAGATATTGCATCGATTGATAGCATGGACGTTGGTACCGTAGAAATTCTCTAGCTAATAGCTACAGATATTTAAAACTAGGTATTCATATGTAAGTGTCAATGTCATATCCTACACTTGTATCATCGTTTATCGATATCATCCACTCCGCCAACAACCATATCTCTCTCAAATGACACTCACTCACACGAAGTAGAACGTAGAATGAACTGAAAGTCAAAGCACGTCACACGAAAAGACTGGACATCTATGAGTATCAAGTAGGAAACATTGGTTGAGATAACGACGAGAGACTTGCACAATGCAATTGGACCGGTCGTAGTACCGTCACGGTCTTGCGCGTCACTCGTCCGGTGACTCCATATGACGAGGTTTGGCAACTGGGGTTGAGAGTAAAAGGTCCCGAGAGGGTCAGGATGACAGACGTCAATGGCAGGGGTGATGTTGTTGTTCCTGATAGCTGGGATGCGGGCGCTAACAGGGAGATTTCAAGGGTCAAAGACGAGGCTGCAAGCAGACTCGTCACCCTGTCGCTCTACAGCCAGATCATTCGCTTGTTTCATCCTCATTCCATGCATTAATTCTCATTCACGAAGGAGATAATACATGGCGTTCAAGCATAGTTATGAGTTGATTAAAAATCGATCATGCAGCGCCTGGCACATGCTGATCGGGATGAGAGCTTCGGTAAGAGAACTAGCGTGAACCTTGCCCGGTCTCTCAGCGGTCCAGATATAGGAACAGTGGATTCCATGGTAAATGGCCTTCCCAAATACTCGTAATGATATTCCTTTGAACACAATGCTCAGTAGCATCGGTGGTGAGGGCATGCTGAGACCAGCGACCATGTTGTACTGGTACTTTGTGTGATACTATATTCCAATGAAGATGGACTTTGGAGGGGATTAGCGAATGAGAGACTCGAAACCAGTTGGGCCTGAAGTATAGGAAGCTCAAGTAGAGGTCGATCGCAAACAGACCGTTGGAAGCAAAGTGCTCCTCCGTAACACTGGTGACGAGTTTGAGAAGCCGGAAAAAAGAACTTCAGCTGCATCAAGTGCATCTGGATAGAGGGGGTGGTATCGCAGTAAGCCATATGCATGCGTTCGAAGGACTGACATGGTGAAGCGCTAAAGCAGCTGCTGTACAGCCTGTACGCCAAAAAAACCAGGGTATTATGCAAGATAGATAATCAGATTCAAATGCTGGAAAGAACCAACTACTTCATTGGATGCGACGAGACACACTCTGGCAGCTGTGGAGACAAGAGTCGGATGAATGATGGAGACGCTGGGAGAGTATACTGTTGGCGGGTATGTGGATTCTTGCCGTAACGGTGATGGAGGCGAATAGCCTCGTGTCCTGAAATGACAAAGGTTAACACATAAAACGCACAATACACGCACCTCGACAGAAAGGCACCCACAATCCCTCAAGAATTCACTTCGACCGCGCCCGACGCCATCGACCTCCAATAAAATGTCGGAACTCATTCGAATCACCACACCCCTGCGAGAGTTCAAAGGTCATGAAAACCAAGTAACGGCAGTGGCAGTTTTTCCTGATAAACGACGGATGGTTACGGGATCATACGACCAGGCACTTCGTCTGTGGGACTTGAAGACAGGTGTTGTGTTAAAGAAGATGGAGGGGCATCGCAATGGGGTATGGAGATTGGCAATATCACGAGATGGGCAATTGATAGCAAGTGGTGATATCAACGGAAACGTCGTCGTCTGGCATGGAGAAACTGGCAAATTACTCACCAGAATCGAAGCCCACTCTAGATTTATCATTTCGTTGGATTTCTCTCCCGATGGCACAGTGCTGGCCACTGGTGCATATGACGACAGGGTGATGAAACTGTGGAACACTAAAACCTGGGAGCAGCAAGGAGACCCAATCGAATGTGGTACCGGTATCTACTGCCTTCGATATTCACCCTCTGGAGAACTTCTTGCCGTTGGAATAAAAGTCGATATCCAAATTTATAATTCAAGCACAAGGGAATGCGTCGCATCCTTCAAAGCTCACAACTACAATTTGTCACTCGCGTGGACTCCTGATGGCACTCGCCTTCTCACATGTGGCGGTGTTCTTGATCCTACCTTACACGAATGGGATACAACAACCTGGAAGCAGGTCGGCGATTGGACGGGCCACTCTAAACAAATCTTTGCCATTGCCATTCATCCTGCTGGCACCCTTTTCGCATCCGCATCTTGTGACAATCATGTCCGTCTCTGGCGGCTCTCAGATCGACGAACCGTTGCCACTTTCAAGCACTCATCTACGCTGTTCTGCGTTACTTTCTCGGCGGACGGCAATCACATCCTCAGCGGAGGCAAAGATAAGATGATCTCGGAGTGGGCAGTGCCTCCGAGTGAGGGTACTCATCCGAAGGCATGTTTCCATTCTTGACTCATACACCTCAATTCGAGCATGTTTCATGCAGATTCTCGCTATCACGACAGCCTGCGATGCATGCATGCATGGAAACTTATCTACTGCCGAAGACCTACTCATGCAAGACAAGGTCCTGGCTATAACAACAGCCCACATTGCATCTATAGATGAGGACTTATCTACCGCCGAAGAACTGCTGACGCAAGATATCAACATCGATGCCAACAGCCATAGTGCCTACGCCCATCGCTCATTTGTGATGTCCCGACAAAACGACTGGCACCGCGCCCTTCGGGATGCAATCCAGGTGAGTTATACGCACTGATCATGGCCTTCTTACAAAAACGCTGACTCAATGGGACATAGTCCATCAGGATTCAGCCTTCATTCATAGGCTACATCTCCAAGGGTATTGCCCTCTGCGGAAAAGGTCGCATCCCGGATGGGAGGGCAGCGTTTGATGTTGCATCAATGTACACGGACCAAGATTCCCAAATGCTCCTTTTCCTGCTCTTGATCAAAGTACGTTACATTTGTCTCATACTTTCCGCTTCATCGCATATTTTCAGGCCATCGCCCTCTTCAATGCAGATCAACATGACGAGGCAAACCTGCTCCTTAAAGAACTCGCTGCTGGTTGTCCGAATGCCGACACTCTCGCGTGTTGTATCGTGCAAGTAAGTATCATCCACGCTTGCTCATGTACATTAATGTTTGCAACTCATACATCAGGCATATCTGCGTGTTCAACTCGGAATCAAGGCATTGGATGGCGCACGGTACGAAGAAGCTGCAGACCATTTTACCACCGTTCTCAAGTCGAGTGCTCTTTCATCGAGTCCACCCATTCACTTTATGTATGAGGACTTGGTGCTGGTACGTGGATACACATTTGAAATCCTTTCCATAACTCAGTCCCTTGTCCAGCTCTTCGGCTGGGATCTCAAATCATTACGGCTCACCGCACACCAGAAACGTTGTGATGCACTCCTTCGTGCAGGCAAACTTCAAGATGCCATCAAATCATACGGATACATGATGGACAACATGAATGAAACAACGAAGGCCAGCTGCATTGAATGGTCCAACGGTAAGTTTTTCAGTAATATCACCCGAGGTTATGTACCCTGACCCGCATTGCACCCAGCTTTCAAGCAAGAATGCAACACCCTCTCTCTTACTCACGGAGATGCTGCCCTCGCTGCATGCAAATTTGACAGGGCTATTGACTTGTACTCAGCCGCGATCGACCTAACTTCTCCCTCCGATGTTGTCTTTGCAAGTCGTAGTAAGGCAAAGTTAGGTAAAATGCTATGGGACGATGCGCTTCTTGACGCCCAAAAAGTGCGATGGCATCTATGTCCTCATAGCCTATATTGACTCCAGCGGTGCATAGGTGACCGAGCTCAATCCTTCGTCTCACATTGGATACCAGTTGACACATGCAGCGCTGCATGGTGCGCAACGTTACGACGAAGCCATTGAAGCCTTCAAAATCATGTTGTCCAAGTTGGACGATTCTCCCGAAGCGCAGATGCAAGGTGAGCCATGGAGCACTCCTGTATAATCCCGAAACGCCTATCTTGTTCTGCAGAACTGCGCCGGCAGTATGTCTGTCCATCCGAAGCAGAAGACGCTATTCAAAGAGCTGTTTGGACTGAACTCGAATATGCCCCGCTCCGTCTACTCAATACTTCTACGGGTCTCTTGTGCGATCGAACAGCACAAATAAACGCCTTCAAAACGAGTGGAAAGTACAAGGAGCTTTTGTCATTCACAACGAAGAATTCAGACCTCCAAATAGGCCGCATCAAGGAAATGGTAGCAATGTACTTCCGCTGCGTCATGCTATCACACAGGTGGGAAGAGAAGGAGGCGGTGCTGCACGACATCCAGGATAAAGATGTACGCGAGTTGAATGGACCTGATGGCATCGCGAAGCTGCAGTCGTTCTGCAAAGTCGCTCGTGATGCTGGATATCGTTGGGCGTGGATGGACACATGCTGCATCGACAAGAAGAGCAACACCGAGCTTCAAGAGTCGGTCAACTCCATGTTCGTCTGGTACCACCATTCTGCGCTTACCATCGTCTACCTATGCGACGTCCCTCCTTCATCCCAGCCCGGTGCACTGGCGAGGAGCGTTTGGAACGAGCGGGGATGGACCTTTCAAGAATTCCTCGCTCCGAAAGTTGTTATCTTTTATCGGAAGGACTGGACATTATATCTCGACGATCGCTCTCCCAACCACAAAGAGTCCCCTGCAATCATAAAGGAGTTGGAGGATGCGACGGGGATAGATGCGCAGACCCTGGTGACCTTCCGTCCAGGCATGAGCGGGGCCCGAGAGAAACTGCAATGGGCATCGAAGCGCGTCACCACCGTGCAGGAAGATGTCGCGTACTCATTATTTGGCATCTTCGGCATCACACTACCTGTCATTTATGGCGAGAAGAAGCAGAACGCTCTCGGACGGCTCCTGCAGGAGATCGTGGCTCGGTCGGGCGACATCTCTGTCCTCAACTGGATCGGAGAACCTTCCGAGTTCAATAGCTGTCTTCCGGCCCATATCACCTCCTACGCCACTCCTCCACACAACTTTCCACCTTTGTCTGAAGATCATATTCACACGCAAGCCTTTTCGCTGCGACAAACCGTGACCGCAAATCTAGCATTGAAGTTCTATGATGAGCTTGAACAGCTTAGAGCTCCTCGCTTTGCAAACTGCAGACTCCATCTGCCTTGCATTTCATTCCGTGTCACGGAAGTCAGACGGAGGCGTAGTCCAGCCCAGGAGACTCCCATGACGTATAGAATCAGGGCAGACGGGCTTCACGACCTGCTGATAACCACTGAAGAGACCCTAGTTCAGTTCTGGCGGGCCAGGCCCATTCAGCAGACATTCTTACTTGTCCGTCCATGGGATCGGTATCTCCTCGGGGTGCCTGACTTTGCAGAGCAGCCTGACTTTGCAGATGATACAGAGAGTGTAGGAAATTGGTCCGAGCCTGGGTCCCTGATGGAAGACCCTGACGAGTTACCCCGCCGTTTGCCTGTCGAAGAGGAACCTGGCTCACGAGCATTGCGGTTAATGGTTCGCCTCGGACAGCCTTTCGGTGCCTTTTTGCTAGCGCAGCAGCGCGTCGGAGAATACAAGAGGATCGTGTCGGACTATAACATCATTGCACAAGTCAAAGACATTGCATCGATTGATAGCATGGACGTTGGTACCGTAGAAATTCTCTAGCCAATAGCTACAGATATTTAAAACTAGGTATCTTGAGGTGTTCATTTGTGTTTTGATGATAATATCTGCATTGTTGCCGTGTCGATGCATGCATAGATACTATCTCACAGCCTCTTGATATTCAAATCAGACATTCATTAGAAACTACCTTTTCCGTCCTACAAGCACAAAATATCAACGGTGATAGGCGGGCGACATATGCATATGCAACGCGGGCTGCAGACATGGGGATTATGCTGACACTGATCGTGACACCCCTGGCTGTGACGAGGGAAACACTTGCGGGCCTGCTTGAAAGAGAGCGCAGAGCTGGAAAAAGTGGAGGTGTGGGACTTACCAAGGGTCTTGGATGGTCTAGAACTTGAGGAAGAGGTCATCCCACTTCCATTGGGGCAGCTTGCGTTGTTTTCTTATTATATTGCTGCTGAGTGTGATAACAATACGGCAATGAGTTCTTTGATCTTCCGAGTCATTACACACTCACAACGATCTTGTATATCTGGAACAGATCAAATCGAGACAGAGAGTGATCACAAACAGGTACAACTTGAAGACCCTGAGCATCGATGCACTCGTGCAGGCGAGTCCGAGACTTCGGTTCTCCCCTGGGTGATCTGTTTCGACCTATGGATGGTGTCGTATCAGGGAATAGTAGTACTAAGATTGCTTTCGTGACCTTTGTGACCTTTGTTCTGGATGAACGGGAACTTTGCAGAGGCACTCGTCCGGTGACTCGATATGGCGAGGTTTGGGAACTGGGGTTGGGAGTAAAAGAACCCGAGAGGGTCAGGATGACAGACATCAATGGCAGGGGTGATGTTGTTGTTCCTGATAGTTGGACGCGGGCGGTAACAGGGAGATTTCAAGGGTCAAAGACTGGGCTGCAAGCAGACTCGGCACAATAGTGCTCGAACAGAGATGTGTATGCGGGCGCTAAGAGGATTTGAGGAAGGCCCCGTCGCTCTGCAGCCAGATCATCGGTTTGTTTCATCCTCATTCCATGCGTTAATTCTCATTCACGAAGGAGATAATACATGACATTCGAGAATAGTCATGATTTGATTGAGAATCGATCACGCAGCGCCTGGCACATGCTGATCGGGATGAGAGCTTCGGTAAAAGAACCTCGCTTGGATTCTCAGCGGTCTAGATATAGGAACAGTGGATTCCATGGTAAATGGCGTTCCCAAATACTCGTAATGATAGTCCTTTGAACACAATGCTCAGTAGCATCGGTGGTGAGGGCCTGCTGGGACTAGCAACCATGTTGTACTGGTACTTTGTGTGACGCAGGATTTCAATGATGATGGACGGGAGGGGATTAGCGAATGAGAGAATCAAAACCCATTGGGCCTGAAGTATAGGAAGCTCGAGTAGAGGTCAATCGCAAACAGACCGTTGGAAGCAAAGTGCTCCTCCGTGACAGAATCGGTGGCGAGTTTGAGAAGAGGGAAAAGAGAACTTCAGCTGCATCAAGCGCACCTGGATAAGGGGGGTGGTATCGCAGTAAGCCATATGCATGCGTTAGAGGGACTGACATGGTGAAGTGCTGGAGCAGCTGCTCTACGCAAAAAAAGGTATCATGCAAGATAGATAATCAGATTCGAATGCTGGAAAGCACCAACTACTCCATTGGATGCGATGAGACACACTCAGAGCCGGCAGCTGTGGAGACAAGAGCCGGATGAATGGAGACACTGGGAGAGTGTATGTACTGTCGGCGGGTATAATAATAGAGTGGATTCTTGCCGTACGTTATACCGGTGATGGAGGCGAACAGCCTCGTCTCCTGGGCGTCTAATGAAATGCGACAGTTGGCTCATAAAACCCACAATACACGCACCTGTGTAGAAAGACGCCCACAATCCCCCAAGAATCTACTTCAACCGCACCCAACGCCATCAACATCAACATCCAATAAAATGTCGGAACTCATTCCAATCACCACACCCCTGCGAGAGTTCAAAGATCGTGAAAACCACGTACTAACGGCATCAGAGAATTGATGAGTCCGTGATATGGTGGCCGTGAGAACTACAGTAGGATATCATTTTGTTTAGGCTAACTATGGTGCGGTTCACTTAGTCACCGCCTACTTTGTGCAAACTTCCCACCACCTACAAAAAAAGTCGGATTTTATTTTCCTCTTGCCAAAACACTCCTTTTGATGAGTAGAACAAAAGCCTAAGACGGATTTTTATTTGGATCAAATCTGAGAGAGATAAAATTTCAAGCAGCAGGCAAATTGGCGGTATGTAGCAGTAAGGTGACATAATCAGTCGAAAAGACGCGCTACTGTCTCTGGAATGCGTCTGTGTGATTTATACTTCGTGGAGCTGAACTGTCGGACCTGTAATTGAGCCTCCTTTGTCGGCAAACCTGATCTGTAAGCCTCTATCCACCTGCGCATGCGATGTTCCCACAGCCTAATGGTGTTCACCTGAACAGATTCGAGTGCTTTCGGCATGTTTGTTTTCAATGTCTCGAATGAGCCGTCACAGTTATCACGGAGGTATTTTTTGACTCTTCCCCAGAAAAACTCAATGAAATTGAGTTCACAGTGGAACTTTGGCAAAAAAATGCACGTGTGCCCTGCAGCCTCGATGATCTCTTGAATGAGAGGCCTCTGTTCCTGGAAATCAGGTTGATTTCGGAGAATGCGCTGGTTGCAGCATTCTGTTGCACCTGACTCGCACTTGGAGGAGCATTTTCCACGTAAGTTCGACTGCCAGAGTCCGCGCTCGCTGAGAATTACTTTGATACCCTTAGGTTGATTTGGATATTGTGGGTGGTTGGCAGGGAACACCATCTCTTGTTCAACACGGACTCCATCATGAATGAACCATCCATTCTGCATTCATGCTTGTTTACCACCAGGGTTGACATTTATGCGAGTCCCAACCCGTAGTGCATCTTCGGCATATGCAGCATGCCCTTGCGAATTATCAATAATGAATAGAGCTTGATAACCTGCTCCATGAGCTGCTTCAAATGCCGGAATAATTTTCTCGGCCATCTGAGACCATGTTTGGTGAGAAATTAATGCCTGCAAAAATCTTGGTACGAACCTGAGCACAAAACCGCTCGCCATTCCAATACCCTTCATAATTCTTCCCATATTCCATAGATTCACCTGCCTCGGAAAGATGTCCACATGTTGAACAAATTACGTCACTGTGATGAATGCCTCGACCAACACCTTTCTTCTGTAACTTGAACTCGTTATCAAACACCCATTCTTTCTCATTCATGTCATTGGATTGTGCTGTCATCTCGTCATGAGGGGTGGGAACGAGGCGACGTTCAACGTAATTGTGTGGTGGAACAAAAAGTTCTTTCTCCACATCACCAATTGTATATCGGACGAGACGGTGCTCAAACTCCTTCATTGCAGGCAGAAACACATTCTGGCGATATTCCACAACATCGGGGCCGTCATGACCATCAAAATACAATCCCTTCTTGTGGGACATGTACCAAAACCCTTCATGGTGAAGCCAACGACGTGCAGTGCTAAGTGAGATGCCACGACCAACTTTGAGATGGATACGAGGAAAGAGTTCCAACTCGATATATCTTTTGAGGGCATTTGGCATCTCATCATTGACAACATCCTTCAGGTAGAGGTCCGCTTCTTTTGTGATCATCTCGTTGTTTGTGAATTTTGCAAGCTTTTCAGGATTCATTGACCATTTATTTGAGCGAAGATATGCGCGGAGCTCGGTGGCTATGGATGGGATGGAAAGAAGTGTGGCAACTTTTGTGTGGCGCCCTCGCATGGATTCTGGGAGTTTTCGGTCATTGATCCATCGACTTGTCCAGTTACGAAGCTGGCGTCCACCCCATGCAGCAGCAAAACCATTTGCTTCTGCTGCACGTTCAGCTGCATCGGCCGAGACATGCCCATTTCGGACAACAAGATCAAGGTGTGCACGAATTGCACGTGTACGACGGGCCTGAAGGCCATTGACTCCACCGACAAATTTCATCTTTGCAGATTTCAGCAGCTTGTCGACATCTTGAAGTCCACTCTTCAACTTCTCCATTTGGGCTGCCCTGTCTTTTTGACACTGGACACGATAGGGTACCTCAAGCTTCCATCATTTGAGTGGTGGCACTGCAGGCAACTTGCCACTGCTCTGACTCATTCCTGCTGTTGGAGAATATACTGATATTCCATTGTCTTCTTCAAGTTCATCGTCGGTGCTCCAACCACCATCATCCGAGTCCGACAGATACACGAAGGCATCATGCTTTGTTGGTTGAGTTGACACTTGCAGCACGGGAGCCTCTGACTCGGATAAAGGAGTATTGGATAGCTGCTGAGTTGGTGATGGCTTTGGTGCAAACATTTGAAGCATCATTTTGACCTGTGGATTGTCTCTGACATTGTTTTTAAGTAAGTGTCCTCAACCATTCAGTTTGTGAGCTGACATACGATTTTTTCGCATTTTCTCGCACTTTTGCTGCAGCCTGAGCTTGCTGACCTCTCCGCTCATATGTCTGCTGTGACTGGCCATTGTATCCAAGCCCTCGATTTTTCTCGGCCTTTTTCCATGCTGCACTCGAGACTCCCATTGCAATTTTCTCAAATGCAGCGGGTTGGGCAAGTAGGTCTGCTTCAATGGCACTTTCAGCTTGCAGCATGCGCATATTCTCCTCCAACTCGTCACCTGAGAGCTCCGAGAGAGTATCATCAGTCAACTCTGTCTCCCAGTCCAAATCTCCAGGCTTGTAGTCACTGTCAGAGCTATCAACATTGACCCCACCTGTATACTCACATTCTGAACATGAATCAGATTCAATGACAAAATAATCATGTGGTTCTGTGTCTTCGCATTGCTGGATCAGAGGTTCCGAATCATCAACAGCCTCGGGACTTGGAGAGGGCACTGGCACAGCAGTGGGATTCCATCTTGCAGCTCTGGCTCGAGCAGCTGCAGAATGTTGGTGTTTTTTGCCCATAGATAATGGTTCACGTTGTGCGTGACATTCATTAGACAACTCGTTGCATTTTCACTCCGCAATTGCTTGACTGACTACGAGCTAATATCGAAGAATGATTGAGCGGGTCTCTATATAGGTATACTAGGGTTAGGGTTAGGATGTCACATCGACGAAATTGGCGGCTGCACAACGTAGGCAGTGACTAAGTGAACCGCACCATAGGGTTTGGCGTTGCCGAATTTAACCTTGCTTGTCTGCACTCTTACTAAGCAGATACATGCAGGCTGCTATATTCTCTTGTATTGCTTCGTACAGTGCTACGTTGTGCTACACATTTGTCAGTAATTGGCTGTGCATGATACTGTTCGGCGTTAGTTGTGAATTTCTATGCATGTATACAACCAGGAAAGTGCTGCACATTAGCCACTAAGTCACTGCATTTGCGTTTTTCTGCTCGATTCAGATTGTCATCTCCTGTAGCAGCTATGATTTCCTTCATGGTTAAGTCGTCCAGCGCAGAATTGAGCTTTTGCGACATAGTAGATGGTACTTGATTGTGATTGTAGAAACAAAGCCGTATACGGTTTATTGATATTTATTATTGTTTATTATTGGCAGAAAATCCCACACACATTGTCGCATGCCATATGACCTTGCAAGCAAGGTGACTATGGGTATGTATACCACAATAAATTTGATTTATTGGTACATAGCGATGTATGTCTGAAAATTAAGTTTCCGATGAGGAGCTCACAACAAGATCATGATGTTGCGCCATTGCAGCAATCAATGTACAAATTGCATAGTTAATAGGGCTGGTCACCGTAACCGTATACGGTTACGGCCGTACAATTGTACGGTAGCCATACGGGTACTGCCCATATCGTCCCGTATGCCATACAGTGTACTCGATATTGTCGATGGTACGGTGCGGGTAACTATATGGTCATACAGTCAGTCAATATGGTCATACGGGAGACGAAAAACATCGAATTACTAGTACAGTAGCTAGTATGTAGTACAAACAAGTATCAGCTGGTACTAGTATCATTCAATCAATCACCATGATGGCATTACAAGCCAGGCACAGCCGCTGTTTGACCAACATTAGTGTTCTAATCGTGTTGGGTTGGAGACTAGCATGACCAAGAACCTCCTGAAAACCTGGGTCGACAGCAGCAGGTTCAGCATTCAGGGTGCTCGAGGAGGCCATCAATCGAAGTTGTATTTTCCAAAGGTTGGAGTAGGCAAGCACACATAGGGGAAGGGAGCAGAACCTTGTGCATATTTCAATCAGCATAGTGGACATTCCCCCCGGATCGGGCACGAGAATCAACAGAGTATTCTGGACATAAAAAACATTGGAACTTGATATATTATAGATCAGTGTGAGAGAAACATACAGGTAGGTTGATGATCTGCATGCTGTCAAAGTCACAGCCACTAGTGAGGAAGCTGGATGTTGGAAGTTCAGGAATAAGCACTGCAAATAGTGTCAGTGTTGCCACTAGTAGTAGGTCGTTGTCGCCATCAATATCAAAAGAAGGCACGAGGCTGCCACAAGTAACATGACTCAAACACATTGGGCATTACACTATACTAATATTCACAGAACCATATGTACCGTATGATGGCTATATACGGCCATACACATACGGTGATATACAGTACTCAAATGACTGTACCCCGTGACTGTCAAATGTGACCTGGAAGCACCGGCGGTACGGGTATGGTAACCATACTACGGTCCCGTATAATCCCATTGTATGGTGTAGAAGAGGAATGGGAAGTGAGTGAATATAGGGGGTATGAGATAACTCAAGTAGTCCTCGGTGAGTGAGATATACGTCGGCCCAAGGGGATTGCTACTGAGAAGGTTCCTCTAGGTGTATAAAACGGAGGGAAACACTGAACCGGACGCTTGGTCAAGCCTGGTAAGGCGCGCGAGTGAGTGAAGGCGACGTGAAGCGCCGATGAGCGATAGTGGCCGACGATAGATGTTGACGTGCGACTTATAACGGAAGCGTGCACTTAAGCAGAAGTGGTGCGCGTGCAGGTGGTGGAGTGCAGCGACTCTTAATGAGTCAGAATACTAATGGACAGAGTTTCTAGTAATGTACGGCAACAGCGCTCATATTGTACATACTTAGATACTTTTGAGTTTTTAGAGGATAACTTAGACTTATAGTCCAACAATGTGTGGGCAGAAAAAGATAGTCATTACACAGTTTATGCGCGTCTATATATACTAAGTAATGTTAAGTGCTGTCAAGCGCTAAAGCAAACCGAGAAGCGAAGCGGACACGAGATAATATGTAATAAGGGTCCATAACGGAAAACATACGAAATATGGCCATAAGCGCCAGAGATATGTTAGAATCAATGAAAATAGAATCGGAATATGCACCGACAAACCGAACGGACATGGAGTGGATGGGCGGAGGATGTAAGACGGAACCGAGGATGCGCGACTAAGGAGCGACCAGAGTGCTGGTGCTTGCGAGCGGCCGACAAAGTGCTTGAGCACACTGTGTGAGATATGAGTCGCACTATGTTGGGAAGTGATAGTAACAATGGGATTTTAGATCCCTGCAAGGCCACAGAGATATTAGTCTCTACAGCGCGCTCACTTGATACTGATGACGACATGATGGATAGGTAATCTCGTGCGAGCAAGGCCCATACTGGATATCTTAGTGCATTTATCTTGAGCAAAATTGACATCAGTGCAAATTTTCCAAGTAGCGCAAGCCATAGTACGTACCCCCCACCATTGTATGGTAGATACACCTGCTGGTAGAGCCGCCTCAACAGTCTCCAGGTAGCTCATAAATTTGGCCCTCCATGGCCGTGATGGATCGCCAATTGAAGTAGGGGTGGGGTTCATAAGTAAGTCGTCCTCCAAATCACTGATGACTTCGCGGATGAGTGACTTGAGACCACCTGCCTTGCTTTTCTTGGACGTGGGCTGGGATGACGACAAAAACGTAGCTTCTTCATTCAGCTCACGATAACGAGCTTTGAACTGGCGGCAAAATCAGACTATCATGCAAAGGCAAAAAAAGCTCGACTCACCACTTCCTCCGCAGTGCTTACCACGTCATCATGCAAATTTTCTGGCCAGTGGCGCTTGAAATAAGTCATTTTCCCTACTGGATCAAGCACTACATTTGCAAGCGTCAGAGTATTTATTGAATTATAATAAACAACTTACACATTGCCATTATATATGCAGGGGACTGCGTTGTCCTCTCATAATACTCGTCTACCTTGGCAGTGGCTGCTTGAAGCGACGGAGCGAACCATGCATACTTAGACCTTTCGGCACGCGAAGACCAAGCCCTGTAGAGGGTTTCGAGCGCTGGGATTGCGAGGTGCAGAGTCGAGCCACGTTCAGATGAGAATGCTTGCTGTGCAACATCAGCATACTAAAGAATTAACATGAGAAGTTAGTATAAATAAATTAGAAACCTCGTACTGAAAGAAGATCAGCGAATTGGCCGACGCGTGTCCATTCACCAGCTGAGAGTTGAAGAAAGTCGATCTTGGCACGTTTTGCCAAGTCGCGCTCTTGACGACCTATCTCGTATACAAAAGTATCAAAGTGCTAGAGCCGATAATAAGCTTCAATGAGTAGAATTATGACAATAAGAAATAATGTACCTCCCTGTTTGTCTTGGCACGATTAAGCATTATATACGTCAAGGACCACCAGACTTTCATGTCAATCAACAGTTGAGTTGGTTGAGACACTCCCACTTTGGTCTGCACACTCCGGTACATTTCCTTTCGCTTCGCGGATGACCGTTCCTGCAGGACATCAATATATCTTAGTAGTGTCATATGATTCTAATGAAACCGAACGTACCTTGACACAAATACTTCGAACAAGGGCTATTTCATCCCAAGTGGTCGGTTCATGACTTTTTGGTTCGTGCGGGTTGTAATACAGCACTTTGCTGTATGTGCTGATTAGACTCTGTGTTGCAAGATTAATAACGTGAGCCAAGCAGCTGTACAAATAATGAGTGTCATAGCGAGTTCGGACAATGACAGGACTTACTTGATTTTGCGCTGGCGCCAGGGAAACACTTTGTTATATTTAGCCTCGTATAGGCGCGCGAATTCTTGTAGTGTCATCCCATTGTTTGCAGCGTTGTCACAGGTGACATGCCCTAGCTAAGTTATATGAGCGCTGTAGGACATCGTAGTCAAATAAACTGATTTACCTTCTGTGCAATCCCAACATGATCGAGAATTTTGAATAAGGCCCCACCCAGCCGCTTGCCACTATGTGCATTGTTGACTTTCGTGAAACCGAGGAGTGAGCTTTCAATTTCCCATTGCATGGGTACCTTCTCTTCAATCCAATGCCCTGTGACTGCAAAATAACTGTCGATGTTCTCCACTTGCCATGTGTCGCACGTGGTATTAATGTTTCCCTTGACAGCAGCGCTCTATGAAGCCCAATGAGACAAAAAACAGCAAGTCAAAAAACAGACATCACTCACGTTCAGCGTGTTCCTTAGCCTTGTAAGGTGGTTTTTGAACATTCTCATGATTTCGGCACGAGTGCCCTTCCTACCTGGAATCCTGACTCCGTTGGTTGTGCGAGAAGCAACATGAATCAGCTCTTGAAATTTAGGGTGTTCAAGCGCTTGTATAGGCTAGAAAAATAAGCCATCAGTCGTGGTTTTGAATTGAGGAGGGCAGACGTACCTGATCAGTCGCGACAAGCCATTCAATGGCAGCTTGTCTGAACAACTTGTCAGAATACGGTACAACTCGTTCGGCCTTGTGTTCAGTGAGATGGGCATTGATCCTTTGCTGCGCAGCGTTCTCCTTTCAAGCCTTCACATCACCAGGTAACATTGATTCGAATGAATGTTGGTTTGCCCATTTGCGATACTTGCCAGAAAAATGGGCCTCAGCATGGCGACGAAGGGTGGTGATTTCATTGACGAGGACACATTTTTTCCTATGAACGAGTGAGTGAATGAGTAGTATGAGAGTACAAAGGTAGACTTATGGACAAACACTACACTTTTGGTGTTTCTTCACTTTGCCATTGGCCCCAGTTTGCTCAAACGTCGCTCCAAAGAATGCGTCGATATCGGCAGTTTTGCCTTCCCGAGACGATCCTGGGTCTGCAATCGAGACATCGATGTTGATGAAAACCCCATCTCCATCAACCAACTCGGGGGACTTCTCTGGGGCCTTCTGTTTCTTTCTACGAGGCTTAGGGTTTGTACAAGCATCCTCGCGGACCGAGTCATGGTCTTCATCGACAGATTCATTGTCTTCGATGTTGACGAAGGTATCATCAGGATGCGAGCGCTTGTTGGATGAGGGAATAACTGAGGGTGGGAGAGGCACATTGGACAAGGGAATAGCTGTGGGTGGGGGAGGCACAGGCTTGGGTTGAGCAGAAACCTCTGAAGCACGCTTGGCTGCCTCTGCGGCACGGAATTCATTGATGGCTTTAGTTTGGGATGGAAGGGCGGCCTTCTCCAAGTGTTGGAGGAGGGCAGCAGTGGGTTTGATCTTGCGTAGGGGACGAGGATGCACGATAGGTTCGTCTTCATTATCTGTGTGGACTGTACCGGTCATTGTGGGCTGCTAGGTAGATACAACACATATACACGTACCACATATAAAAAAAAGAACATGATTTGAAAACAGATTAAGTTTGCGAAGGCAGCGAAGTTGAAGCGCCAGGCAAGACTGTAGAGGTGCATGGATTGCTGAATGTTTTCTTTTCAAGACCAGGGCAAATATCAGCGAGCTTTCAAAGATAAATAACATGACAACGGCGACTCACTGTGATCTCATTCTGACATACCTCATGGTATGATCGATGATTGATTGACTAAGAAGCTGATACCGGTCGTCAGAAAACAACATTAACATAAACAGAAACTTACATACCGAAATAGATTGCTTGCTAAGCCACGGCTTGGGCCGGCGGCTTAGGCTTCGCAAAATTGAAGCCTGGGCCAAAGCCCTGGTCAGGCCGTGTCCTAGGCCTGGGCTGGGCCTGGCTGAATCAGGCCCGGCTTGGCCTGGCCCAGGGCTTGAAGCCGAGCCGGAACATCACTACCCTGATCCTGTATATGCACCTGAACGTGGACCTGTATATTCCCGTCGGTATGATGTTGACGAGCGCCAGCATCTCCCTCCTTATGATGACCATCCTGCAGCTACAAGGGGCTACCATGATTGGTACAATCAGCGAAGGATGTACCAAGAGTCACGGTGGATAGATCATGATGAGGGTTTTCCTGGGTACTCACGCGAGGCTCCACCACCTCGCAGGTATGTTCGCAATGACCGCTCACACAACACTCCAGACAACTATGATCGTGTGCCATATGTGGGCTCTAGTCTCTCTCCAAACATTCCGCCTATGGCGCCGCCTTCATCATAAACACAGTTATATTTCCTATGAACCCATGCAACGATCCCTACAATAAACAATATGCACATGCTCTATGCTTACCTACCCGACCCGTTGACATTCCTTACGACACCTGACATTCCCTACCGCTGACACTCATTGCTTGTATCTACCTTGTGTCAGTTTGTTGTTTTCGCGCAATCGGAAATATACATGACTTTCTATGCATTCGCTGAACACTCTCGCGTGACAATTTCATGTGATCCTGTAGCGCTACTGGCAAAAAAAGATTAATTGAAATTTGGGGGATAAAATCAATGTTATCGAGTAGATCGTTAAAAACATACCCTATCATTAGTGGCAACAAGCCATACTGAAGAGGCTCATAACATATCGCGGGAGCCTCTATGACAATCGTGCTTCAATGAGGTAGTATCGTAAAGGTAGAACCTCGTCAGTCACAAGCACAAACACCACTCGCGGGAGGGCCCTCTCAGAGATAGTGATAAGGAGCGCAGAGGGTAACATAATGCCACTCACGGGAGGGTCATCTCCACAGGGTAGCGATAGGGAGCGCGCAGAGGGTAATATAGGTTGCCATAAAACTATTTATGGAATTGGGTGGGAGCCTGTTTGTGGGTCTGAAAGACTGTGGGAACGGAGGAAAAGTGCTGCCAAGGGTGGGCGGGTACCCGGGCAAACCCTACCCGTGTCACGCCCTAAATTGAGGCCTTGGATAGTCCACGTCACGAAGAAGCCGCCGACCATTTTACCGTCGTTCTCAACTGGGGTGCTCTTTCATGGAGTTTACCCATTCATCTTTTGTATGAGGACTTAGTGGTGGTACGTGAATACGCATCCGAAATTCTTTCCATAACGGAGTCCCTTGTCCAGCTCTTCGGCTGGGATCTCAAATCATTGTGGATTACTGCAAACCAGAAACGTTGTGATGCACTGCTTCGAGCAAGTAAACTTCAAGATGCCGTCAAATCATACCGATACATGATGGACAACATCGATGAAACGACGAAGGCCAGCTGCCTCGAATGGTCTAACAGCAAGTCTTCAGTGATGTCGCCCGAGGTTATAAATCCTCACCCGCATTTCACTCAGCTTTCAGGCAAGAATGCGGCGCCCTCTTTCTTACCAAGGGTGATACTGCCCTTGCTGCAAGTGACTATGACAGGGCTATCGACCTCTACTCGGCAGTGATCGACCTGAATTCTGGATTTGATACTGATGCTGTCTTTGCAAATCGTAGTAAGGCAAAGTTAGGTAAAATGCTATGGGACGATGCACTTCTCGACGCGCGAAAGGTGCGATGGCATTTACTATTTCTTCATTTACGCTCAATGTGGTAATATACAGGTCATCCAACTCAACCCTTCGTCTCATATTGGATACCAGTTGGAGCATGCAGCGTTTCATGGCACGCAACGTTATGATGAAGCTATTGCGGCATTCAAAATGATGCTCTCAAAATTGAATAGCACTGCTGACATTGAGACACGAAGTAAGCCTCAGGGAACCAGTGGGTGGATATCATTTAAATCTTTCTGCAGAGTTGCGCCAGCAATATCTCGACCCATCCGAAGTGGACCGTGCTATTCGAAAGGTCATCGATGCTAAACTTGATAATGCTCCGCTACGTGTACTCGACACCGCCACCGGTTTCTTATGCGATCGAGAGACACAGATACGGACCTTCAAAACGAGCATAGAATATAAGGAGCTTGTATCATCAGCAATCACGCATCGAGATATCCAAATGAAGCGCGTCGAAGAAGTGGTGGTGACGTACTTCCAATATGTCATGCTATCACACAGGTGGGAAGGCGAGGAGCCGCTGCTTCAGGACATCCAGGGCAAGGACGTCTATGAGTTGGATCCAATCGGTGGCATCAAGAAGTTGCAGTCCTTCTGCAAAACTGCTCGTGATTTGGGGTATCGCTGGGCATGGAGCGACACGTGCTGTATTGACAAGAGCATCGATGCTGAGCTCCAAGCATCGGTCAAGTCCATGTTCGACTGGTATCACCACTCCGCGCTCACAGTCGTATACCTCTCGGATGTTCCGCCATTGTCAAGGTGCGCTGGCAAAGAGCGCTTGGAACACCCGCGGATGGACGGTGCAAGAATTCCTTGCTCCCAGAGTCATTCTCTTCTATCAGAATGATTGGACTCCTTATCTCGACGATCGCACTCCCAATCACAAGGATTCCGTCGCGATCATGCAGGAGTTGGAGGATGCGATGGGGATAGATCGACGGGCAGTTGTGGCCTTCCGTCCCGGGATGAGAAACGCCCGAGAGAAACTTCAGTGGGCGTCGACGCGTACTACCACGTTGCAAGAAGACATCGCATACTCGTTATTCGGTGTCTTTGGTGTCCGCCTGCATGTTGATTATAGCGAGAAGAAGCAGAACGCGCTCGGGCGACTCCTGCAGGAAATCATAGCTCAGTCTGGCGACATTACTGCGCTGGACTGGGTCGGAAGGTCATCGGAGTTCAATAGCTGTCTACCAGCCGATATCACTTCATACGAAGCTCCACCATGCAAGCTGCCATTTCCATCCCAAGATGAAATCCATGCATCGGTCTCCACATTGCGAGGTGTTGTGGCTCTACAGTCGGCTTCGCAATTATACCAGACACTTGACTACCAGGGCGCTCCCCGTTTTGCGCATCGCCGATTGCATCTGCCTTGCATCGTATTCCCGGTCACAGAAGCCAGGGGGAGGCGGAGGTCTGGTCATGACCAGAATACATACGTATGAACTCAAGTCAGACGGGCTTCGCAACCTGCATATCACCACAGAAGACAGGTTCACCCCGTTCTCGCTGGCAAGGCCGCCGCCCGTCTGGCAGACGATATTGCTCGTTCGTCCGTGGAGTCGTCATCTCCTCGGGCTGCATGACAATGCAGACGATACGCAGAGCGTAGACAATTGGTCCTTGTCCGAATTTTCGTTGCACGATTCACCCGCTGCACAAACTGGGCCTATTTATTCGGATTCTGACTCGCGAGCATTGCGGTTGATTGTTCGCCTTGGACAGCCGTTTAGTGCATTTTTGCTAGCGCGGCAGCGCGACGGAGAATTCAAGAGGATCGCATCCGACCATGATGTCATTGCACAGGTTCAAGACATGGCTTCTATTAGCTACTTGACGGACATCAGGACACTAGAGGTACTGTAGCTGTATGCATGGGTCCTTCCAGCCTCACTATTCTGGGAGAGCGTTTATCATCACACACCTGCCCGAGTGAACTAGTCTTACTGATGATGGAATTTCCAAACATCTACCGCACATGAGCCAGGTGCCAGGACACTGGCATGCGTCAAGTGCAGCGTGACTAGCTGTCTGGGTCAAAATAACTGGAGTCTGCTGTGGTTCATTATTTATCTTAGTTTAGACCGCAAGTGATAGTGCACCTCGTTCAAGGTCGTGACACCAGGCTGCCCTGGGTCACCGATAAGGATTCTAATTTCAATGGAGCCTCAGCGATATTCCGAATGCCAGCTCTGGCGATCATTGATTCAGAAGTGGAAGGCACTCGTCCAATACGAAGCCAGGCAATTGTGTGAAGATCCTCTATGGATTTTCGGACGGTACGAGGACACTCCCACTGGCAAACCATTCCTTTCTGCGCGTTCCATAGAAATGCAGACGTTGATCTTCAATCTCTATATTCCCGAAACATTGCACGTCCTTTTCAAAGGGCCCTACATGAGGATCCTAGGAGAAGTATACGAGGAGATATCTTCATGGACCAAACATGCATGCTATAGGGCACGTCTCAACCGGTAACCTTCACGACACTGCTGATTTCTGTTCGACGCCCAACTTGAAGGAGTTTAACCCAGAACACTTTTCAGCAGATGCCAATCTTCAATTTCTGCATCCCCGGAATGCTCGCCTGCGCATGCTAAGTTTTCCAAGGAGCATCAGAGAACCTGTGAGAAGAAGATATCGTCATATATCGTTATATATCGTAATATATAGGAAAGGTTTTCGTCACATTGTAATATAAAGTGATATAAAGCAATATATGACCATGTAAAAGCACCATAATCAGCATAATCCCCAGCAAGAACTCACCGGTTTACTGATGGAGGACAAGTATATTGCACCAATGAGTTTTAATGCATCTCATACGAAACGCACTTTATGTTCCCAAACAGGCGACCTTCACGACGGTGACAATGCTAAGTATCTACTCGACGCCCAAGCCTGAGGAGTTCAACCTAGAACAGATTTTAGCAGATGAAATTTTACAAGGACAACAACGTGGACGGTGGAACCACGTTCTTGGGATGGGGTGCCGGTCGTCATGTTGCCACTGTGCTGGGAAAAGATGTCGGCGATCTTCATGATCAGCTGTGCGGTTTCTCCTTCAGTGTTTCTACCGCCAGTACTTGGCGAGCCAACGTTGCCAACAGTAAGCCGTGTGAAGCCTATGGGCTAGCCCCGGGTTACAGCCAGTGGCAGTGTTCTGGCGATGGCGGAATACCTGAAATAGAAGGTGGCTCCCATTAGATCAGTCTTATCGATGCAATTATCTCCTTACATACATGAAGCGGGGGAAACCGATACAAAAATACTTGTCCAAGGTGTGCCCGTCCAAGCAAGCTGTCACGGTGACACACTACTTTCCTACAGCGCAGTGACTAAATCCACTAGAAATATGGAGTTATAGCCGCACGATCACTCGGACGTCTGCCGTTTTAGTCACCCAGCGAGCTAGAACCACATCTAATTGCTACGTTGTGCTGCAGTGCACCACTACTAAGCGGCCAGGACCAAGACTATAAGCAATACAACATTATGGATACTCTGCAGAGCGCCAGGAATATATACAATTCACTACGGTATCATAGGTAAATGTGGGGGAATCAATAAATGAACGACCTATGCAAACAAATACGGTCCAAAGCGATTTTGCGGTGATAATAACAAGCGAAGGGTTATCATAGAATGGAAGTGAGCTAACTTGGGACAACAACACGCTTAGAAAGTTTTCGGGAGAG